CCTAACTAAAATCGCAAGCCTCAAAAAGCCCGGATTCAACCCATTTCAAGGACAACGATTCCGACACCGATCGCTACACCGACAACGAAATCGACGACAAATCCTCCACCTTCACCTCCTACTCCAATCCCCCAAATCAGGGGAACAATCCACCACATCGGAATCCTCTAGGCAAAGACTTCGATGACCGGGCGTCGAATTACTCGTCCTATTCGCGCAATTCCGATAATAATAATAATAATAACAATCACCCGAAAAATCACAAGAAGGGGCAGAATTTGAAACGATGGGAGAGCGAAGACGAGGACGAAGAGGAGGACGGAGAAACGGAGAGGGAAGAAGTGCAGTGCAGCGAATGGGGTGACCACGATCGCTATAGCAGCTCGACGAGCTCCTCGGATGAGGGCGAAACCGAGGATTTGAAGTCGAGATCTGATTTCGGGCCGCGGTCGAATTTCGGTGGGTCGATGAAGAACGAGGCGAATGCGGCTGCGGCTAATGCGAATGTGAATCGTGATTTCTCGAGTAAATCGGAGAAGCTGTCTTCGGAGGACGACGGGAAGTCGTCGGTGAGCTGGGGAGATGGTGGGAGTACTCAGAAGGAGAATTCCGACCGCAGGATGGTAGTGAGGCACCGCGATTTGGCCGAGATTGTGGCGGCGATCAAGGAGTATTTCGATAAGGCCGCTTCCGCCGGAGAGCAGGTCTCCGAGATTCTTGAAACGGGCCGGGCTCAGGTCGATCGGAGCTTCAAGCAGTTGCGTAGTAAGTTATTGCAGATTTTTATGTTAGTACAATCAAGAATTTACTTAAATGTTAGTGTTTTAGTGATTTTTTAAGTGGTGATTGCTTCGATTTTTATCGTGTTTTTGGATTTGTGAGGCGTTTCGTGCATTTGGGAAGTTGAATGGCGATTGTTTTTTTTTTTTTTTTTTTATTTTCAGAAACGGTGTATCATTCGAGTGGAATGTTGAGTAGCTTGAGCTCAAGCTGGACATCGAAGCCTCCTTTGGCAGTAAAATACCGATTCGAGCCGAGTTCGATCGAGCAATCGGGTGGTAAGAGCCTCAGTTCCACTTTGGAACGGCTCCTGGCATGGGAAAAGAAACTATATCAAGAAGTTAAGGTACAGTAATCTAAAAATCTCGATTTTTTTCTCGTTAACGAATCATATCATATCATATACAATTCTTAGATGTAATATCTCGGCATTGCTTAGACGCTAAAGTTGGCAATCATAATTCTCGATTGTCTTGTTAGTTGGGTGGTGCTGGTGTTATGTCGATGTCTTTTAAGCTTATCTGTAATATAAGTGCTTATCTATAAGCTTGGATGATTCCCTTTTATGTGAAATGACCGAAATGCCCCTGAGTCGTCACTCTTTGTGACAAGGATAGCTTTGGAATCATCTTAGGTTGTCAACTTTGGAACATGCTCGTGGGGTCCGCTTTCCAACAAACTTGTCTTTAGTTTCCCATCCGATTTGTGCCCCTTTTATCAACGGAACGAAAAAACCCGTAATTGAATATATATCATTTGTCAGGCAAGAGAAGGAGTGAAAATCGAGCACGACAGAAAGCTGTCTTCGCTTCAAAGTCAAGAGTACCGTGGAGAAGAGGAAGCCAAGGTGGACAAGACGAAGGCATCGATAACGAGGCTTCAGTCTCTTATCGTGGTGACTTCTCAGGCTGTGTCGACTACCTCGTCTGCTATTATCGGTCTACGAGACTCTGATCTTGTACCGCAGCTCGTCGAACTTTGTCACGGGTAAGTATATTATACATGCACGCGTAAATAAAAATACCCGTTAGTCTAAAAATTTGTGTTTGAATTCGAACAGTATCAAGATTTGATTTTTTTTTTTAAATTACGATTGGTGTTGGGTGCATTGTGTAGTGATTGCCCTAAATCCACGTAGGGTTGTAAAAAAAACGCATCTTTTTGAAAATTGAGACGAGATGATTGCCATGATAAATGTAGGTCAGTTGTTACTAAAGATCACAACTTTGTCGGAAAAAAACATTAAGTGCCTTGTTTGGTTGGTAAAATAAGTTGGTCTTATTTGATATTTCGTTTGTCCGATAACTTTTCGGGGCCGGCATTTTTACAACCGATAAAAACTGAAATAAAAACGCAGGTTCATGTACATGTGGAGATCGATGAACCAATTCCACGAAGTCCAAAACGACATAGTCCAACAAGTCCGAGGCCTAGTCAGCCACACCGCCACCAAGTCCGAACTAACCTCCGATCTCCACCGCCAAGCCACCCGTGACCTTGAGTCCGCCATCACCGCCTGGCACTCCAGCTTCTGCCGCCTCATCAAATTCCAACGCGGCTTCCTCCAATCCCTCCACTCCTGGTTCAAACTAACCCTAATCCCCATCCATTCCACCACCACCGAACAACAACAGCCCGTCGAAGACCGCCAGCTGTCCAACGTGTTCACCTTCTGCGACGAGTGGAAACTCGCCCTCGACAGAATCCCAGACACAGTCGCGTCCGAAGCCATAAAGAGCTTCATCAACGTCGTCCACTCGATATCGCTAAAACAATCCGAAGAAATCAAGATCAAGAAACGCGCAGAGACCGCGTCGAAGGAGCTCGAGAGGAAGGCATCTTCTTTGAGGACCATCGAGAAGAAGTACTACCACTCGTATTCCATGGTCGGGATCGGGCTGCCAGACGGCGGCGGTTCCCACGAGGGCCATGCTCTGGACTCGCGGGACCCGCTGGCGGATAAGAAGGCGGAGCTCTCGAACTGCCAGAGGCGCGTGGAGGACGAAATGGTGAAACACTCGAGGGCTGTCGAGGTTACTAGAGCCATGACTCTGAATAATATCCAGACGGGCCTGCCTGGAGTTTTTCAGGCTATGACGAGCTTTTCGAACTTGATGACCGAAGCTCTCGAGACTGTGTGCACGCGATCGTACGCTATTTAATGTGAACTTGAATTTTTTTTTTTTTTCTCATTTAAGTTAGAAATAGGAAATTGCATGAGGCAAATTTTCATTTGTTGTGGCTATAATTTGGGATATGGAATTGGGGAATATTTGAAATTTTGTACCCTTTTCAGAATCCCCCCTTTGTTTTGGGGGGGGGGGGGGTGTGGGTGTTTGTGTACATAATAAAACTATAAAAGTGCTTGTGTTGTTGTATCTATAAATCTCTTATTTTTGGTATTTATTTCTAAGCTGTGTAGATTTTTTTTTTTATTTTTTTTTATTTTATTCATTTATATATTTATTATTTATTTTTATTTTTATTTTCCTCCATCAGTGGATTATATCTGCTGGTGATGATATTTTCTCCAGGTTTTAAGTACTATTGTATTAAGGATCTTGCAGAGGCTGCACATGGATCTTTATTCAAGGAATTTGGTTAATTTAGTCCCACTTTGGCAAAAAAATTAAAAATTAAAAATTAAAATAAAAAATAAATTACGACTACCACTGAAGTAAGTTCAAATTACGAAAAAACTCCTCATATTTGAATAATTACAATCACCCCTCAACTATGTAATGTCTTACGAAAACCCCTTATTCAGAAGGTAAATTAATTGACACTGTAAAAATGGACGTGTGAGACGATACATAGTTGAAGAGGGTGGTTGTAATTATCCAATATATGAGAGTTTTTTCGTAATTTGAGCATACCTCAGAGGAGTGGCCGTAATTTCCGGGGTCAACCCGCAAATATTATTTTAGCATAGAACTATAAACAAAACACAATTATTTTGTTATTGCATGTGATGATTTAGTAAGTTTGCCAGCTAACTTATTCAATTGGTTGAGGTCAAATAGTACAACCTGTCCCTTAATGAAAAGCAATCATATCAATTATGCAAATTATTGGTACAATATACAAGAAAATAATAAATAAAAGCCTGTGCCAGATTTTTTATGTATCTTTAATCTGTTAGCTTTGAAACAGCAATGATTTGTACTGTTAAGTTTGTGAGATTCCAAATTGTAAAACAAGAAAACAAAAGAAGAAGTTGAGGAATTTTAAAACAACAATGATTTGTACTTGATAAATTAATCTTCATTTTCATGCAATAACTTGCAAACTGCACGAACTACAGTAGAATTAAACAATGTGTGACAACCGACGAACAAAAAGCGTCGATAAAAAAGATTGAAATTTAGGTCAATTGTTTACTTTTTACCGCATGCTCTTTTACTCCACCAATTAAACTATTCGTACACGCTCTCGAAAGGTGAACTTGTCGGAGTGCATGTTGGTCTCATATTTGGTTCATGTTTGCAACAAACCCGCCTCAGAAATAGGGTTGACCATGGCTACATGTATTTAAATAGTGTTATATATAGTGGAATTTTATTAGCTTGCTAATTAATAATTAATAACTATTGCTAATATATATATATATATATATATATATATATATATATATATATATATATATATATATATATATATATATATATATATATATATATATATATATATATATATATATATATATATATATAAATGATAAGGCCATAAAATCATATAAATGGAGCATGATAACAATGTAACATCTTGATATGCATGCATGAGTAATTGTTATCACATATAAAGTGAAGGGGACCATTACATAAATAGATGACATTGAAAAGCCAACATGGAAAGCAACTTGCAACTTACACTTTGGCCCAAATTGGGGTTTTTTCTATTTGGTGCGTTAAAAAAAACGGGTTTTAGCTCGTAAATCGTTTTTAACTAGTTTCATATATTAGACAGTTCTTAGTACTATACTTTGGATCCTGCACTTTCTTTAAATGCACGATCGTTTCAAGGTTATTTATATATTTATTAAGATTAACGGATGTGTTTAACTTGGGCTTTGTTTGATAATATTGATTTAAGCTCAAACTAACTTCAATCGAGTTGAACACGAATCAAGCTCGAGTACTTTGGTTTTTTCATACATAGTTTATTTTTTCATGATCGAGCTCTAGCCGATCTTCATAGCTTACCGAAAATTCATTTTTTATTAGCGTAAATCACAATCACCTCTTTGAGAACAAAAAATCATTCATTTTGAGAAATTACATCTAGTCCCTCCAGTTTGTAAGTTTCTTACATTCACCCCTATAAAATAGTGTTCATTAAAGAAATCTACAAACTTTAAGGGGTGAATGTAATTATAGAAAAATGAGTGTCTTCTTTCATAGGGTAGGTAAATTCCAAAAACCCCCTGAACTTAGGCTAAATAACGAAAAACACCTCCACCTATCCGTAATAACCAAAATCCCCCTTTGAGTAACTGTTGATCGAGTTTTTTAAACAGAAAATGTGTACAGTCTATTATACCTTCTGTTAGATAGGTGAGAAATAAAAGAAAATATCTGAAATTGTGTTCCCTGGAAATAAAAAAAAATCGTAAAAAGCCACAATGTAAAGGGTTGGTGTAAGATGGAAGCAAACTTCAGGGGGGTTTGGTAATTAAATACGAGGGTGTTTTTCGTTATTTAGCATAAGTTTAGGGGTTTCGCAATTTACCATTTTTCATAAATAGACATCACCAGTCCAATACCGATCAATAATAAGTAATGGTCCTTTGGGCGTGGGTTCGAGAACGAGATACTTGTGCCCGCATGGGTGTAGCTTGAGTAATTTGGTTTTTATAATACATAGTTTATTTTTTCATGATCGAGCTCTAGCCAATCTTCATAGCTTACTGAACCAAAAACTGCGTCCAAGTTTGGTTTAATATACTAACAAATGGGCTCGATCAAGCTTTTGATCACTGATCTGATTGAGCATTTGATTTGATTTTCAGCCCTGCATGTCTTTAGTATTTTATTCCGAAAATTCAATTTTATTAGCGTAAATCACAACCACCTCCCCGAGAACAAAAAAATCGTTCCTTTTGAGAAATTACATCTAGCCCCTCTAGTTTGTAAGTTTCCTACATACATCCCCTATAAAATGGTGTTAACTAAAGAAATCTACAAACTTTAAGAAGTGAATGTAATTATAGAAAAATGATATAGGTGAGGTAAATTCCGAAAACCCCCTGAACTTAGGCCAAAGAACGAAAAATACCCCCACCTATCCGTAATAACCAAAATTCTCCTCTAATTAACTGTTGATCCAGTTTTTTAACAGAAAATGTGTACAATCTATTATATCTTCTGTTAAATATGTGAGAAATAAAAGAAAATACCTGAAATTGTGTAAAGTCTATTCCCTGGAATAAAAAAAAATCCGTGAAAAGTCACACTGTAAGCGATTGGTGTAAGACGGAAGCAAACTTCAGGAGGGTTTTGGTAATTACGAATAGATGATAGATGAGGGCGTTTTTCGTTATTTTAGCCTAAGTTTAGGGAGGTTTTCACAATTTACCTTTTTTCATAAATAGACCTCACCAGTCCAATACCAATCAATAATAAGTTATGGTCCTTTGGGCGTGGGTTCGAGAACGAGATACTTGTTTATAATTTCATCTGGCCTTTTTACATAATATTTCCACTATATATATGGCCCAATGGTATTAGATATTAGTATTTTTATGATCTTTTTCTTTAAAAAAATTGAGAATGCAAATATTAATTAATAAATTTACACTAAATCATTTTAACTTAATGTACAGTAGAATCTCGATATATTAATAACCTCGATTAAATAATAGTTTCTCTTGGTTCCAACATGGTGAAAACATATTAAATTATTAACTCGATAATTTAATAATTTGATAAATTAATAAAATTTCTCTAATTCCGACTGTATTAATTAATAGATGTTTAACTGTATACGTAAGTCGACCAACATTAGAGAAGGGTACTTTATTATCCAAACCTCAAGAGAGTCTTATGTAATTCACCAAACCTATATGATTATCTAAGCTTCTATTACACCTAACTTAAAATCCAATAAGATTGTGTAATTATTGAATCTTGGATTCATATATGCATATTTGCACCAAAGATAACTTCAATTCTTGGTTTTTTTTTAAGTTGTCGGGTCAAGTGAGCCTGCATCAATTGACTTAGGTTTGAATCCCCTTGCAAACGGTCGCTAAGTCGAACTTGTCACATATGGTTAGCCTACTGTAGATTACATCCCTCGTATAATTTCCAAAACTATTATACGAGAGTATAATTTTTTTTTTTTTTTGCTATAATCTTGTGTAGAATATAAATAGTAGAAAGAGAGAGAGAGAAAAAAATGATGTATAGAAATTAGAAGGTCAACGAACTTCCAATCCCAAGTAAGACTTGAATTTTTGAAGAAGTGACTTTCACTTGAGCAAAACTCCAAAGTCCGAAACCCACCAAAAATCCGATCAAACCAACCGACACTCTCACTAACCGGTGGGACCCACTCAACGGGCATTAATTTCACCGTCACCGACGTCACAGAGAGAGAAAGAAGAGAGAGAGAGAGAGTTTTGCTATACTAACATGGCGGCCGTGGTATCGGAGAAGATGGTAGATCCGACGACACCAACCTCCGCCCCTCCAATTTCACAATCCATGGATAATATCAATAATTACTCCGGCGACTCGCCCTCCGGTTCTCCGCCGCGCGATGCTCCCGATCGATCTTACTCCTCAACTCCCAGCCCTTCCCGGCAGCTCGACCCTCAGGTATTATACTTCATCGTTGAATTTTTTTTTTGTTGTTGTTGTTGTTGCTGGAATTGAATTTCGACAGGAGGAAAATCGGGAAAACAGGCGTTTCTATCCGAATTACTTTAATTTGGTTGTTTCGGTGTAAGCAGTTGTAGTTGTGTTGATTATGTGCTTGCTGATTTTCTGATTTTCGTTTAATTTCCATCTATTCTGTGAATGCTAATTAATCAGTTCTACTGAACGGATACTATCAGTGATAGCGATTTGATCAAATTCAATTGTTTAATTCATTTAGGTTTTGAAGTACATAACCGTAGCTTGTTTTCTTCTATTAGACTAGCTTGGAAGTTGGAAGATCTATAACTCCGGCTAAAGTGTGCCCTTGATATACAGTGAATGAAACTTATTAGAGAAAGCAGGTTGATGAGTTGTTGGATTCATTAGTTTATTGAACACATTTGGTAGATTGTGTTCACCTATTATACATGCTTGGAAGTTGGACTGGCTATAAATCTAGCTGAATACTTGATTGTTAGCGGAAAAGAAGAGTCGTTGGTAAAAACGAAGGTTTAGATAATAGTAAGAATGTCAGTTTGGCTTATGTTCAGATGCCACTAGACGAAGCATCTGGTCACCCTCCTCAACTTCCAAATTATCCTCTAAGAGCCAACCATGGCTTTAGTATCAACGGCAATATCAATGGTGCTCACTGGTGACAAAATGATTGCGTTAGCTGATGGGTAAGTACTTTGTTTTCTATACAGAGTCAACTGCTAACGAGAGTTGAAGAATATCGGCAGCTATTTCGTCTTCCACCTGACGAAGTAAGCAATTTCTTTTGTTGAACTATAATCATTAAAAATATTACTATTACCATGACTAGTAATAAAATTATTGTTATCTTCTGAGATTTCCATGTAGTATGGTGATATATAACCTAGTCTGCACATCATTTTACAATATTCCATATATAGGTTCTCATCCAAGATTTCAATTGTGCCTTGCAAGAGAATTTTCTTCTCCAGGTAATGTACTTTTTTTATGTTGGCCTGTTAGTTTACTTTTTTCTAATATGATTGCTACATGCAAAAAATATTATTTCTAAATAGCTTAAACCTGAATGCTAATTCCGTTATTGATCTGAATCAGTTTTAATTTCTTTATTATCTCACAAAACATTAACGCAAGTGGCTGGTTAAAAGC